CGTGCCCGCATCCATGGTGTGGTGGGGTGGCCACAGACCCCAGCGGCTCTGTGGAAGGCATCATCCCATTTCCCTGTCTCCTGCTGGAGGCCCTCCCCATGGGCGGTCGCAGCTCCCTGTGGAACCTGCCTCGCACCTCGATTTGGAACAGGCTCTTGGTGACCCCTGTGGGTTTGTTCTTTGCCAGAATCAGAACAGAATCATTTTATCATGTCTGGTTCCATTTGCATCAGCTGAGGCCAGCAGGCCAGCGGTTGACTTGAACAGCACCGTTTGTCTTTGGCTTAATGATGTTCCAGGCATTTCCAGTGTCTGACAATTTTGCAGTCACACCCCGGGGAGCAAAGTTGGCTCTGGCGTAGCCTGTGTGCACTGGGCTACGAGCAGGTTTAGACAGCTCGTTCGTTGGTCACCTCATGGTCACAAAAGGCTGCTGCAGCCCTGGGAATCACACCCACAGTCCGGGAAAGGAGGGGAGGGAAAAGGCATTGTCGGTCTTACACGTCTTGTAGAGAAAGAAAAGCAAAACCTCTCCCAGAGGACCTGAGAAGACCCCCGGGTATGCATCCTGCGGTGGCACCTGGTCGGGCACCCTGCTTCTCCCAGCCTGAGTGGAGATGGACGGGAGGAGGGGCTTTGTGCACCAGCAAGTTGGTCGTGTTAACCGTCAGTGCTGGTCTCATTGAGCAGCCTGTCTCGCCAAGATGGCGACTGTGCTCAGAAAAACCTTCCCCCTCATCATCACCTGCTCCTCCTCATGAAGTATCCGTGGGCTCTCATGAACGACATCGTGTAGAAAAGCCAATGCACAATGGGCTCTGTTCTTGAGGGGCACGTCCTGATTTCGCCCTTGTCAGGGCTGCTGTCCACGAGCACAGCTGTAGTGCTCTTTCACCCTCAGAGAAAATTCAGACGTCGCAAAGCGACCGGGCCGTGCTGGGACAGACTTCAAAGCACGAAAGTGTGCATCACACCACTAGGACGGAGAGAGAAGGTGCTTCCTAACACTGGACAAAAATTGGCTCTGGCCTCGCATTTGTTTTTCTTTCGTAGAAATTTGAGTTTGCAAAGGGTTCTATGGAGACCTTTCTAGATAGTGTTGCTGTTTGGGCTGCAGGCAGCGGAATTTTGGTCTAAAATTAGTTTTTCAGTTAGATTTCTCCAAGGGATGAAATGATTCCCTGCAAGAAGGCTGGCCACCCTGGCGGCTAGTTCCACGCTTTTCATGTGAGTGACGACCAGGTCACTACGTCTCATCCTTCAGCCTAAAATAGCTTCAAAGTCCCCAGACTCGATGACGGTGGAGACACTTAGGCACCAGAAAGAATCCGGTGATAACGAGATGAGTCTTTAAAAGCTACCCATGATGACAGCTAGGTTTGGGAGGGGGTGTCTTCCACTTGAGTCAGGGCAGCTAACCAGATGCTGGAGGAGAAAATGGAGGTTGGGGTGTCAGTGTGACCTTTGTAAAGCCATGGGTGGGACCCAGCTTAGAGTCGGTAACCGTGAGCTCCAGAATCCCCAGTGGGCTGGAGAGCGGGCCATCCGGCCAGGTGCTAGCTGCGGGCAGGTGTCCCAGAGGGGAGGGGGACACTGAGCATGCCCAGCTCCTCCCCAGCCCCCCAAGTGAGACAGTGGCTCCTCCTCTCTTGAGAGGGGTGAGAGAGGAGGGAGTGGGAAGAGGGAGGGTGAGAGGAGGGTCCTCTAAGGATTTCCTTGGCGTGAGCGTGAACCGGCCACATTTGTGAAATGAAAACCTTACAAAGCTAAACCAGTGCATGGTGCTCTGGTCTGAGAAGAGCAAAGAGCTGGATTCTAAACCCTTCTGTCCTTTCACGGGCCTCCCCCCAACCCCAAGTGACTTAGCTGACGCGCATCAGTCAATTTCTCTCCGTGACTCAGTTTATAATTATCTGTTGAAAGGAAAATAATAGCCTTCCTATAACTCGGGCTGCCCTGGAAGTTGTTCCATTAAAGCCAAAGATAAAGTCTTCCTTTCATCTTATCAAAGACTAATTATGATAGTAGCTATTAATAAATTGAAAAATCTGACTTCCTAAGTACATGTCTAAAGATGGCCCCCCCCACGGTGGAGTACTACGCAGCACTAAAGAGAAACGGGCTCTCCAGGCGCGCAGGAACAGACAATACTCAGGTACATTTGACCGGGTGAATGAAACGAATCTGAAAAGGCAGAGACTGTGGGCTTCCAAGTCTAGAATGTTCTGGAAAAGACAAAACCATGGAGACAGTAAAAGGTCTGTGGGTGCCAAAGGGGAGGGAGGGATGAGCTGGGGGAGCACCAAGTGATTTGCAGGCCGTGAAACTGTCGTGTCAGCGTCCAGATACACCAGGTGCGCGCAGGTGGGTGGTGGTGTCGCGCCCATGCGGGCTCATCAGTAACAAGGGCGCCCCCGTGGGGATGTTGACAGTGAGGGAGGCCGTGCCTGGGGGGTTGGGGGCACGGGGACTCTCAGGACTCTCCACGCAATTTTGCTGTGAACCTAAAACTGCTCTAAAAAAAATAAAGTGCACACACACACACACACACACACACACACGGGTGGGGTGCGCCTACTCTTAGAAGCCCAGCCCATTTCACCCCCAAGGGCCGCCAACAATCTTCCTCCGTATTTGAAATGGATGTGTCAGGAGCAGCGGGAGCAGCACGATGTTCACCCAGGGGGACGTCTGCTCAGGCACCTTCCCATCCGCTGCTGACTCCCCCTCAGGCCGCCGCTCCCGGCTCTCCCGGCGCGGAGAACATGCCAGCTCAGCAGTATAACCGGCCCTTAGACACAAGGAGTATTATTTAGTCTAGAAACTCTCAAAGGAAATATCTGCTTGCACGTGAAGAATCTCTGGAATTTCTCTTTCCTCTGTCCAGTGTCCCCGTATCTGTGAAATGCCTGGAAAAGCGTCTATTCTCAGCGCGTCTCGTGGCGGGTTGACCCCACAGGCCCCCTGAGCTTGCGTACGTCCCTGCCAGTGTCATCCCCAGCTCCTGCCCCTCAGCCCTGGTGGTGCCCGGGAGGGAGGGGGGAGGGGGGGAGGATGGAAGAGGAGGGAGGAGGAGGCAGGAGGAGGAGAGAGGAGGAGGGAGGAGGTGGGAGGAGGAGGGGGAGGGAGGGAGGAGGAGAGAGGAGGAGGGAGGAGGAGGGAGAGAGGAGGAGGGAGGGAGGAGGGGGGAGGAGGAGGGTGGGAGGAGGAGGGAGGAGGAGGGAGGAGGAGGGAGGAGGAGAGAGGAGGAGGGAGGAGGAGGGAGAGAGGAGGGGGAGGAGGAGGGGAGGGGAGGGAGGAGGGGGAGGAGGAGGGGGAGGAGGGAGGAGGTGGGAGGAGGAGGGAGGGGGAGGAGGAGAGAGGAGGAGGGGAGGAGGAGAGAGGAGGAGGGAGGAGGAGGGAAAGAGGAGGAGGGAGGAGGAGGAGGAGGGGAGGGAGGGAGGCAGGAGGAGGGGGGAGGAGGGAGGGAGGAGGGAGGAGGAGGGGAGGAGGGAGGAGGTGGGAGGAGGAGGGGGAGGAGGGGGGAGGAGGAGGGGGGGGAGGGAGGAGGGGGGGGAGGAGGAGGGAGGAGAGGGAGGAGGAGGGGGGAGGAGGAGGGAGGAGGAGGGAGGAGGAGGGGGAGGAGGAGGGAGAGGAGGAGGAGGGAGGAGGAGGAGGGAGGAGGAGAGAGGAGGAGGGAGGAGGAGGAGGGAGGAGGAGGAGGGAGGAGGAGAGAGGAGGAGGGAGGAGGAGGGAGGAGGAGTGCTCTCTACTCCACCACCGAGGCAGCAAGATGATTTGGATTTCGGGGATAAGCAAAACTGTGGGGTCTTCACCGGCCCGTCTTAGTCCCAGTCTCGGCCTCAGGTGGCTTTTGCTACAGGGCTCCACTCCCGTTTCCAGGTACCCTCACCCCCTTACTCCCCCCTTCCTTTCTTGAGCCCCTCCCAGAGCTGCTGGTGCTGCTGGACCTGGAGTCCATTTAGGCGAGCTTTGGGCCCCAGCAGCCCAGGGCCTGGCCGGAAGCTGCGAGGCAGAAGGTGTGGGGTGACCCAGTCTCCCTCCCCCTCGGCCCCCTCCCCACCCCCCACCCCTGGACAGCTTCTAGGCCCTGCTCCCCGTAGGGCCCACTTTGGGCAGCAAAGGCCAAGGCCCCCAGCACCCAGCTACGTTTATAAAGGTCTTTCCCTTCAAGCCAGCAGGCTGGGCGCAGCCAGACTCACACAGAAGAGGGAAGGGGGAGAAGAACCCGGAGAAAAAGGGTCCCCTTTGGATAACGGGGATACTCCAGCACCAGGTGTGAGGGTTTTAAATAGAAACCTGCTCATGTTGCCCTTGGACTAACCACAGCTGGCATTGGAGGGCCAGCTCTTTGCAGAAGGCCAACGTTTAACTTCCAGACAGTTCCGGGACCGTCGTCACGTCACCTTGTCGCAGGGCTGAGCCGGGCCGGGGCTGGGGGCACATTCCCGGTCATCGCTGCCCCCTCGCCTTCCGACACGCTCACCAGGACCCGCTGCCAAGATGCAGCTGTGCCTGGGAGCTCTCTGACATTAAATCCTTAAAAGCGTGGAAACTTGGGTCTCAAAGTACTTCATGGGGAAAAGAATGGTCCTCTTGATGCGGCTTCCTTGCTCTGCTCACGGTTCGCTGCTGGCATGGTGACCGGCCCGGGGGGAGCCTGGGCGCGGGAGGCAAAAACAAACATTCACGTCGGCCGGGCCAGGCGCGCTGTGATCTGGAAATATTTCCCCCACAAACAGGAGGAGCGAGGTTACGTTTGGGTCGCTCCCAACCCCACAGAAGAGGGGTGAAGGAAAGAAGCTGGCAGACACCAGTGAGCTCGCGAGTGGCAGAGATGGGTGGTCCTCGGGGTGGGCGCCCCTCTGGGGTGGGAAAGTTGAGTGAGAAGAGCAGTGACAGTTGGGGGAGTCGTGGGAACCCCCATCCCCGCTTCCTCCAGGTGTCCCTTACGAGGACTTTCCAGTCGGGTGGTGGCTGAGGGCGGCTGCCCTTTTCCCGTGGCTTGGGCGCTGGCTGCCTAGCTCTTTCTGGAAAGCCTGTGTAATGCCTGCCCGCAGCTGCCTCGCCCACTCGCCGCCAGCTAACAGCCCTGCCACCGGGGCAGGTGACCACAGCTCAGATGCATTTCCTCCTCGGGGCTCGGAGCTCATAAAGAGCAGGCCTGGCTGGCCCCAGGGGTGCAAACACCTGCACTTGTAAATCACAGAGGGCTCAGTCTTTCCTCTGGAATGACCCCACTTTCCTAGGCCGCGTGGAAAAGCAGGATATTCAGAATCAAAGAGGGCGGCCGGTGGAGGGAGGGAGGTCAAGTATTTGCCCAACTCCTCACATCTTTCTGAGGAATCGGAGACACAAGTTTCCTTCAGCTTAGAGGCTTTTTGTTGTTGTTGTTCCTTAAAGTAGAGTGAATTCCTCAACCACCGGAGAAACATTTGCAAAAACATCGAGGGTCTAGACTGGAGACCGTTGCACAGTGGACACCCAATTAATACGGGGGAGTGGACAAACGAGCACTGTTCTTGCAGGCCGTGCCGGGCACGCTGAAGGGCGGCTGCCTGCGTGGAGCCTCCCACCAGGGAGGCAGACGGGGGCAGAGAAGAGCCCTGTGTGCTGTCAGAGAGGATAAAAGCTCAAGTGTGCACGGGGGACACACGTGGAAAGTTCTGGAAGGTCTCGCCGCTACAGAGTTTAATCGTCTCAGAGATGTTGGGTGGTCACTGGTGATTCAAGTTCTCTGGAGCTTGAAGAGGCTGCCGAAGATGAGAGAGAGGAGAATTCGACCAGTTATTTTATATGGCGAAATCGTTTTGTAAAGCTCATCGATGCCTTTATTAATCTCTACAATCCCCTGCCCCGGGATGTGTCTAAATTTTTTTCTGCCTTAGACCTTGCCTGAACTTTAGACTCAATCTGGGGGTTTATTTAGGGCTCCCGTGTTTACCATGGACACCAAGAGCCATCACTCGTCCAGTCCTCCCGCCTAAAACATCCTTCGTGGTCCTCTTTGATTAAGAAGGACTTCACGTTTGCAAAGTGCTCATCAGATCTGTCTTATTCCACAAACTCAGAAGTCCCAAGTCAGCTAAGCAAGCACACGGTAGGGACTCGGCTATATGTGCTCAATTCCCAATCCTGTTTTCACTAACTTTTTTCCATTTGGGGCAAGTTAATCTCACTAAGTCCCCCAATTTTTTTTTTTAAAGATTTATTTATTTATTTTATACAAGAACCGGGGTACAGGCCAGATTCGTGGGAGGGTGAGAGGACAGGCAGACTGAAAACACTGCTGAGAAGAGCAGCGGGCGAGACAGGAAGGTCTGCGGCGCCATGTAGGACCCTCGCCGGCCGGCCGGGATCGAACTGGCGCTGCAGAGGCTGAGGACAGCTTCACAGCGCTGCGCTCAACCAACTGCGCCACCAGGGGAAGCCCCAAAGTCCCAAATTTCTTGTCTGTAAACTATTGACGGTGATGACTGGAATTTCTAGGGCTGCTGTGAGATTGAATGATGTATTTTAAAACAAATCTGGTGCTCAGTGAGTGTCCAGCAGATGCTAGCATGCTGATAAGGCTGCTGTTATTTCTCTAAAGCCTATGGGTGAAGATCTAAAGGAAGGGATTGGAGGAGCAGGTGGATGAGCCCAGAGAATGCTTCAGGCCAAGGGAGCAGCACGTGCCAAGGCCCTGAGGTCAGTACCTTCAAGCACTTGCAGGTTGGCCTGTGGCTCACAGGTAGGGAAGGAATGACTGAACTTTGTTTTGGGCCTCATCTCCAAGAAGCTTCCAGCAACACACGAGGGGAAAGATGGCATGATTGGGGCAGTGTTGGTAAAACAGACTACAGAACTGACAATAAGGAACTGGTGTTCTGGTGATAGAAACAGGTCGATGGGGCCTCCTGGGTGTGAGACAGCTTGTCGCGAGGAAAGCAGGTAAGAAAAATGATCCAAATTTCACTTGAGCAGGCTCTTTGGGGGGAGGCCAGCCCCCTTGTGGAGAGACGTTCTGAAATCTCTTGAGGCAGCTGGATGGAGCTTTAGCCGAGAGAGTGGCTGCAGAGCAGGGCACCGGGAAGTCAAAGGAAGAGTGGGGGCTGACGCCCCCTTTGGGACTTTGTCTTTGTTTGCTCTGGCCTTGCCTCTGCATCCGCAGACCTCCGTCCCTGGTTCTGTCAGGGACTGCCTTGTCCATGCTGAAGGGGGAAGCCTCCCCATCTCCCTGCCTGCATCTCCAGATCCTAAGCCACCCCCTGCTCCTGGCATTTGCCCCACATCTCTGTGTCAGCACGTGATACCCACAATTATTTTGGAGTCCAAACCAAACTGCTCTCTCGAAGCTTCTGACTTCCCACGGTGCTCAGAGACCTGAGCCGGAGCACAGAGGGCCAGCTTCAGGCTTTACCATGTGTGTGATGGCGGCTGCTGTTGAGACTCAGGGACAGGTCAAGGCCCTGGGACCCTTGGCTGCTCCTAAGAGCACTTGGGGCTGACCCCAGTCCCCCCTGGAGCCTCCCCAACCCTCCCTGCCCGCAGCGGTTTTCCCAGTCACTTCTTTGCACTTAGAGAATGTCACTCCACAAATGTGTGTTTTTAAAACAAGAGTTTTTGCCCTTGTGAGCTTTTGTTTTTGTTTTGTTTTTGCCAGCACAGGGGTCTGGCAGAGACACTGGCCTGTGGGGCGTCGTTACCTTTGGGGGTGGCTTCCAAGCGCTGAGTCACCCCCATGCCACACACGTGGAGCCATGCCGAAGTAAATAATTAAAACACAAAAAGCCTAACCCCGTTTCCTGGCAGTTCTGGCGCTCAGAAGGGGCTGGATGTGGGAAGACCGAGGGGGCAGGCCGAAGCCTGAGTGCTATGGGAAGTCGGAGGTGGCTTCGGCCCGCCAGGCGGCAGCCAGCTCCACCTGCTTCTATGGGGAAGCGTTTGCCTAGCAGAGCCAGGGTCCAGCAAGTGCCAGGGAGGGTGGCTAACCTGGGTCAACTGCCCCGGGAAACCCTGGCAACTCTGGGGCGATGCCAGGGGGAATGCTCTCAGCTGAGCGGCAGCTCCGGCTCAGTTGCTGAAGCCCCAACTCTGCTGGGAACTGACCTCATTCATGAAGTAAACATTGAATCAGATACCAGCAGGCCGAACCCTGGATGAGTGGAAATAACACGGACGTTTCCATCGTGATGAAGCTGCCAGTTGGCTTTGGCAAGAGGATCTCGAAAGATGTCAATCGGAATGAGTTCATTACCTTTTCTTGCCAACTGAAGCAGGAGCCAATTGTCTTGTTGCGGTTGAAATTATTTGTGTGAAAATGCTTTACTTACATTTTAGCTTTAATATTCCAAATAATGTACTGGAAAGCAGTGTCGTCTAGCAACTGGAAGACAATATTGGGAACCTGTCAATCGGCCCAGGCCTGGCAGGGTCTGAGCCCTTGGTGTGGGCCAGCGGTGGCCGCCCTCGGCCTTGGAACCCTGTCCTGGGAACACGGGGGCTGGAGAGCGAGGCCTGGTCTCGTGATCTGGCTCCGCTGTCACTGGGGCCCTGGTGTTCGTGCCGCACCTCAAAGTCAGCCTGTCAAATCGAGACACCTCGGAGGTGGTGAGCCCGTTACTGGTGATCACGCCCACCTGTCCTGCTTCCTTTCACGCGCTTCATGCAGGTGATGAAGAGGTTGGTTTAAGAAGCCAGAGTGGCCACTGCTTGCAGCGCAGTTTCACGGGTGTGGGAGAGATCATTTCCGTAAGTGGTTCCTTTCTTATTTACTGCCGTCCAGGAGGCCGGCTGGAGCTGCACACGGGGGCCAGGGCCCCAGAGTCCAAGCCACTTCAGCTCCTTCCTTGTGGGTGACACCTGCAGATCACCCACTCTCCCTAGGGTGCCTTCATCTCGTCATCTGTGAGGACTGAGTGAAAACAGAACCTGCCCGGCAGCCGCTTGGGGAGTTTGGGGGAAGCAGGTCCAAGAGTGAAGTCTTGGCCTGGCCTCTCAGGGTCGCTTCCTCGTCTGGATGAGATGGTACGGAATGGCCATTCCTCCTTTACAAGGTGGCAGTGAGCAACTCCACAGCAGGCCTGGAGAGAGGCTGGCATGCCAGAGCCGAGATTGAGAGACTGATTCAAATTTAAATTACCTGAATGTAAATTTAAATGAACTTAAAGTTGCCAGAGCCTTTTTGGCATCAGTTTTTGATATCGAAGGATCTCGAAGAGGCCAGACTGTGTTATCAAGTCATTTGAAGACGATCCTGTTGATGATTTCTTTCTTACACCAGGGCCGAAAACCAGAGGTCCCTCTCATAGTCCTGGGGGCAGTTGGCATCTTTAGTCTCACAAAGACCCCCTGGCCCCTTGAGCTACTCCGCTTCCTTTCAGTGCTACCCGGCCATGCAGCTGCCCCAGTGACTGGCCTCTGCTGTGGAGGAACGGACACATCTGTCCAGCAGGGCCCACCAAGCACTTCCAATGTCGCGGAGAACTCTCCTGAGCTTATAACAGTGATGAAGTGGGTGAAGCAAAGAGCAGTGAGCTTACTGCCATGTCCTGAAGCAGATAATCAAATGGATGGTTGACCAGCCTTCCGATCAATAAGGGCGATCCTCGGGTCAGTGTGGACCACTGAAGGATGATCTTTTACCAGATGAGTTAACTGGGTGAGTGCTTCACCATAGTGGGGTGATTTTGTAACAGGGTGGTCCCCAGGAAAGGGGGAGGTTCCAGGTTTCCTGCCCCACCCAAATGGAGGGTGGAGCTGGGCAGGGAGAGAAGAAGCTGCAGAGGAGACTGAGGAAGGAAGGAAGCAGGATGGAGCCTAACGGAGACCTGGAGGAGGCGCATGGAGCCTAGAGACATGTGAAGAAACTGCGCTTGCCTTTTGGTCGTGGACTGGACACAGATGTGGGTGAGACCCGTGGGGAGGTGACAATGGCAGCTTCTATCTTGATTTTGATTTTGCTCTTTTTCTTCCGGGGTTGTCTGGTTGTTTCTGACTCTTTTCTGTGGGTCCCCACTGGAAGATGCTTTAGACTCATGGCAGGCTTTGGGGCCTTGCTCTGGGCCAGTCCCATTTGGATGGAGTTTTACCCACGAGGGGACGGGTGACTTTGGGTTAGAAACTAAATTCTTTGCCTTTCCTGTATTGTTTCCTAATTGTATTAAAGTTCCTTCCCATTAAAGACTCATGTTTTGTGTTAATGCGGCGGATGGCAGAACCCTATATAGAATAGGCAGGTTTGCGGGGTTTGGGCTGCCCCTCTCCCTGCCCTGAAGCAATTTGACAATAGTTTGGTGGCTTTTCATTAAATCCTTATGGACAAAATAGTGACTAGAAGAGGAGCACTTGAAGGGACTTCAGAGCACCACGTGGCACATCTCCAGTTAATGGGCACCACTGTTCAAGGCCACACGGCTAATCAGGATGGAGGCTGGAAACTGCACCTGGCCCTGTGACTCCCCTAAAGGGTCCTCCCATGGCCAAGTGGGATTTTAGCAGAGGATGGGACTCCGCCTTCCCAAGACATTCTCCAGCGATGTGCCAGACAGCTCTGTCCTTGGCCTAAGCACTTTAATGTTCTATCAACAACTTGGATAAAGCCAAAGATAACTGCTTATCAACTGTGCAAATAGCACAAGACTGGGAGGGAAGGCCAGTGTGTTGGAATTACAGATTCAGGATCCAAATGATCTCAACAGGAAGGAATGATTCCTTGAATCCAACAAGATAAAATTTAACATGTACGGTCCTGCAATTAGCTCCAGCAAGATTGCAAAAGTATAGGAGATGGCCGGGAAACACATCCTTCCGCGCCCGCCCGTAATCACAGAAAGGCAAAATTCAAGCCACTATGAGATAATCATTTCCCCTATCAGATGGGCAATGATTGAAAGAACGAACATTCCCTACTTTTGTTTGGTGGCTAGGGTGTGAGGAAACAGGCCTCTTGTAAACTGCCCGTGGGCATATAAACAAAACTGTTCTTTCTGGAGGAAAATCTGGAAACATATAGCAAAAGCTGTGAAATGTACCATGCATTCCAGCAGTTTTGTTTCTAGAAGTGTATCCAAAAGCAAACATACAAAGATTTATGTACACGGCTATTCATAAAAGCACTGTTAGGAAAAGAACACCTTTGGTGGGGGTGGGGGTGGGGGTGGTGCTGTCCAGTTTGGGAATAAAGGTCTTGGGAGAGGCTTGGCCTAGTGGTACAAAGCAGATTCGAACAATGAAACGAGACGACTGCCTTGTCCCTTCCCAGTCACTGGCTGATGGCCTCCGTCAAGGGTGTCAAAGAGGACAAGAGTTGTTCTTTGGCCTTGGGATGAAAGGTTTGGTTCCTTCCAGTGCAAAAAGGCAATGTGTCTTTGTGGCAGAGTCACGACTCAAGTCGAAGGTGGTGGGAAGTTGCGCCAGGTTCCATTTACCGACATGAAATTTTAGGAACGGAATGAGAAGGCTTCCTGCAGCCCAATACCTGAAGCCAGGAGAGAGGACCACGCCCCGCTCCACGCCTACATCTGCTGCCCATCAGTTCCTCCAAGGTAAGCCTGAGGGATGCTTTAGCTGAAGCTGAAGACAAGAAATAAGCGATGAACGCCCCTTCCTGCAAAGTCATTTCTGCTGTATTTTGGCTTCCGGAACACAGAGTTATGGGGTGGGTGAACAGCTGCCTAGTCTGTGACTTTTCTCTTTTGCGTTTGTCTTACTGAAAACTGCTTTGTGAATATTTCTTTTTCCTTGTCGAGATAACCATTGTTGACAACACTGTAAGGTGTCCGGAGGAGTTTCTCACCTCAGCAGCTGTATCATCACACCACAGCCGCCATTGACGTGCCAGTCACCCTCCACCACCCACCAATGGCCCCCCTAATGATTCGATTGATGCCTTACCCCTTTTGCCCCTCTGGTAACCACAATTCTGTTTCCAGAGTCTAAGGGTTTACTTTTGTTTCGTTTGATTGCCTTTTCCCCTTTTTATCTCTCAAATGAGTGAAATCACACAGTGTTTTATTTCCCTCCTTCTGAAACTTTCACTTACCCTAATCCCCTTAAGGTTCATCCAAGTTGTCTTTTTAACAGCTGAGTCGTATTCCTGTGTGTGTGGATCACATCTAAATTCATTCATCTGTCCTTGGGCACTTGGGTTTTCCCAATATCTTAGCTATTGTGAACACAGCAGAGCATATATCTTTTTGAAATAGTGTAAAACTTTTGTTTTGTTCATAAATCATATCTGTCTAAACTAGATGATATCTGGCACCCCCAAGGATGGACATTCAATGCTCTTGGTTGCTTGGTGCACATCTATATCTGCCTGGGTCACTCTGGGCGATTAAGCCCCTTCTTGGCCTCGTCTCATTCAATCTTCCCATCAACTGTGTCAGGTGGGCATTATTTAAAAAATGCTCATAGTTAAACCCTGTGTGTGAGACTCAGCATGCACTATATCTGGTGGTTGACACTGTCATACAACTCCCTGGAGGTGGAGGTAAACTCCTTCTAAATGGTGCTGGGACAAGTGAAGGGCCACATGTAAAAGAATGAAATTGGATCACTCTACCCCATACATAGAAATAAAAGTGGACTAAAGACCTAGATATAAGACCCACAACACTAAAATACATAGAAGAAAGCTTTGGCAATATGTTTCATGACATCAATGATAAAGATGTATTTGGAGATTCCACCCCAATGGGAAGGAGAGGGGGAGCAAACATAAATAATTGGAACTACCTCAAATTAAAAAGCTATACAGAGAAAGAAAATATTAGCAGATCAAAAAGCTATCCTATTGAATGGAAGGAGATAGTCACACATCCGATAAACTGACAAGGGGCTAATATTTAAAGTATACAAAGAACTCATGCAACTTAACAACAGAAAACAAGCAACCAATTAAAAAATGGGCAGCAGATCTGAAAAGACAGCTTACCATTGAGGATCTTCAGAAGGACAAGAAATATATGGAAAAATGTTCATCATCACTTTTAATAAGGGAGATGTAAGTCAAAACCACAATGAGATAATCATCTCACACCTGTGAGGATGACATATATTAAAAATACCATCAACAACAAGTGCTGGAGAGGAGATGAATAAAGAGGAGCACTAATACACTGTTGATGGAAATGTAAACTGGTATACTCATTTTGTAAAGCAATCTGGATTTACTTAAAAAAAAGCAAACCTAAAACTGGAAATGCCATATGACCCAGCAATCCCACTTTTAACTATCTACCAAAAGAATATGAAACCATCAACTAAGAAAAATTACAAGCGTCACAATGTTTACAGTAGCATTATTTATAGTATGTAAATAAGTGGGTATGTAATAAGTGTCCATTAGGATTCGATCGAGAAGATGTGGTCTATCCAAACAATGGAATAATATTCAGCCATCAGGAAAGATGAAATATTGCCTTTCTCAGCAACATGGAAGGAACTTGAGGGAATTATGGTTAGCAAAGTAGGTCAGAAAGACAAAGACAAATATTGGGTAATTTCACATATGTAAATTAAATAAGGTATCAAAGGAGGTGAACTGACAGAGTAATTATAACTTAACACTGATAACCAAAGTGCGGTTTCTGAGGTAAAGAGAAGAGGGAAAAGTGAAAGGGGTAGGTGGTGGGGAAAAAAAGAAGTTGCTCCTTCAGAGAAGCCCTCCCTCTTTTCTCCCCTCAGCAGTATATTGCTTTTTCTCCTCACACTTATCACAATCTGTGAATAAGCATTTATCTGGAGGACTACAGGTGGCTGTTGTTTGGAGCCCCTTCCTCAGGATGTAGAGTTCTGAGTCTGAGAAACAGGGAGTGTGGAGGTGCCATACCCTGAGATGGGTTGGGGCACAGGTGTGGCACCTTTTGATGGGGCTCAGGAGTTCCATTTTGGACATGACTTTGCCCTGCCTACTAAACTGCCAAGTTTGGGGTCCAAATAGGTAGCTGTATATGCAAGTATGGAGCTCAGGCAAGAGGTCCAGGCTCTCATCATCATACAGATGGTCTTTGAAGCCATGAAACCAGATGAGCTTACCAAGGTACTGTTCAAAAAACCCAAAAAGCCAACCCGGGGCCCTTGCCTACAGTTAGAAGTCAGGGAAATGAGAAGAAACCAGCACAAGAGCCCACGGAGTAGGCCATAGGGACGGAGGAGGAGAGCCAAGGGTGTGTGTTTCTCTGCAAGCCAAGTGAAGAAAACATTTCACGGAGGTGATATATTTCCAAATGTCTACAGAGCAGGGAAGGGGACTGGGAAGAAACCGAGAGTGCCGAGAGCGAGTGGCAAGAGGGGGGGCCGGTGACAGTGAATAGAGACACTCTTTCAAGTTTTGATGTTCAAAGGAGAAGCGAGAGGCGGTGGAAGCCGGAGGGGCCGAGTCACAACGATTCCTGAAGGAAGAAAGGAACAATATATGTATCGGGGAGAAACTGGGGCTCAACAAGGCTCGTGTTTCCCTGGCATTAGGAATCCTGGTCTCGACTCCCCTTCCCACGGCGACGCCGCCCGCGAGACCAAGGAGACCTCCCTGGGCCTCCCGCCCCACGCGGAACCCGAGCCGGGGCGGTCTGAATCTCGATTTGATTTGGGCCAGGGGCCGATCCGATCTTTACCCTCTTAGGTCCAGAAGCCCCTCGAATGGAATTTTGGACTCTGTGGCTGTGGGGGTGCCTGGGAATCGTCCACGCGGACAGTGCCACGGCGTCAGGGTTGCCAGGGGAACCCGCGCCGGCGGCGCCCCACCGGGCCTCCGGCGCGCGTTCAAACCTCCTCTCCGTCAGCTGACCAGTTCTCCTCCAATCGCGTCTCGGGGGCGGGGCTCGACGCGCCGTCCCCATAGCAACGCCTTCGCCAGTTCGGCCGCGACGCCGCGGGAGGCGCTTTCGGATGACGTCAAGAACCCACAGGCGCTTACGTGACGTAAGCGTGGCGGAGCCCTGTGGGCCGCCCCGACGGGCAGGTCGCGGACTCGGACACTGCGCACGCGTCGTCTAAGTTGGCGTTTGTGTTGCTTGGGTGACTCTTAAAAGTTGCGTCAAACAAGTGGGGTCCAGAGCGACGTATTAACGCGCACTGGACGCCTAATATCTGACGGAATCCCAGATTCTGACATGTTGGAAATGAAACTTTCCCTTTTAAATACCAGCTCAGGTTTAAACATTTTTAGTGAACAGTGCAACGTCATCCGTCAATAAAACCAAGAAGAATGAAGTTATTTTTCAGAAAGCCAAAGCAGAATTTATGTTAAGTGATTGTTAGAATAATTGGCATTAAGTCCTAAAAGGAAACCTAAAGATCATTCAGTTGCATGTTATTTCGATGTTAAACACGAATTCCTCATCTGGTCAAATGCATATAGGAAAATGTTATTTCGTATGCTGCCCAGTGGCATACACACAATTCACATTATTATTATTTTTTTAAAGATTTATTTATTTATTTATACAAGCATTGGGTACAGTCAGAAGCGCGGGAGGGTGAGATAATTCACCAGAGCCAGAGGGGGGAACAGAACAGGCAGACGATACACTGCTGAGGGGAGCAGTGGGCGCGCCATGTGGGACCCTCACCCAGCGGCCGGGGATCGAACCGGCACTGCAGAGGGTGCAGGCAGCTTCGCGGCCCAGAGCTCAACCGCTGCGCCACCGGGGAGGCCCTACATTATTATTTTTAATTTATTTTTATTATCGTTTTGTTTGCATTCAGCTCTTCACGCCAAGTCAGCCCCCTGTTTGCAGCACCTCTAGTCTTAAGCAGAGAAGGGCTGGAAGGGGCGCCTGTTTACATCTGGCCTTCCTGGCTGCTTCAAGGGCAAGTATCTGAGAATCAGATATTCTCGGCTCATTCACCTGGGCCCTCACTTGGTGTGAGGACACCTCACGAGGTGTCCATGATGCCCCCTTGCAGTCAGAAAGTACTGCTTGAATTCCAAGGTTACTGTTGCCAGCAGGTTTCTTCCAGGAGGCCTTCTCCTGAACAAGCGCTTCGCAACGCTGTGCTCTGGAGAGATCAGCGAGCCAGCTTTTAGGCACTGGCTGTAAAGTAGGGGTAACCCCATTCCACTGAGAGCTGGAGAAGTCCTCTGAGTTAAGTTCTTGGACTTCTAAGGACTCGAGGCTTCTGCTGGCTGCTGTGGTTCTTCCCACTTTCATTCAGACTTGTAGCCAGGATCCAAGCAGACCTTGTGAAGGGAAAGACCTCCGGGTAAATGAAGTGTCACTGTTAGGAATGTTGACTTCCTTTGCTCATTACTCATCTGTTCCCTGACGTTTATGCAGTGCTCTGCTGGGCACTGTGCTGAACCCTGGGGATACGTGATGATGACAGTCGCTTTCATGGACACTGGCTTATTTCAGTGATTAACTCAAGAGACATTTATTACATGCCAACTGTGCTAGGCGTGGTTTAAGTTATTACCATTCTTTGAAAGAATGAAGTGTGATCTAGGATCTAGTATGTGGCTTGGCGATTTGACTTTGTGAAATTGGATGAGTTATGCACCCCATGTACCTCAATTTCATGATTTATAAAAAGGGGCATCATGACCTCCTCAGGTGACTGATATGAGTTAAACCTGTGCTTAGGTTTGGGGAGCTGTTTCTTCCCCCCTCAGTTCCTGTCTTGCTCAGGCCTTCCCAGGACAGCCTGTGACCGGCACCTAGCCTCAGAGGTCACAGACTCTCCTCACATTGTTTTCAAAACAGTCTTCCTCCAGACGCTGCGTTTTGTGGGTCTGTGTGCTGAGGCCAAGTTATATTTAAACAGAGCCCTCCCACTTCATCCCCAAAGCTCCTCCCAAACCACCAGCTCCAAAAGGAAAACCATCCCTGTCTTCCCTTGCCTAGTGACTTGAAGCGGCACCCGGGAGGGGTGGGAGGGTGGCCCGTGAGACTGGGTCAGGTCCTGGGACGCTGTCTGTGCAGGGCGAGGCCCTGTGAGGGCTGGGGAGCCGGTGTCTGGCTCTCCTGTCACCACAAGGCCTGTGGTTTCCACCCTGTCTGCATCCGCGTCCCACTGAACAACACGGGAGAGAAAACAGACATGCACACAGGCGGACACACACACACACACACACTCACACACACACACACACACACACACCCAGACGTGCACAGCCTTCAGAGGAAGTGGAGCACCAGATGTTCTGGGTTTCCTGTTCGATGCTTCCACAGCTGGTCGAGTCTGTGGTTGTGGTTTGTCTGTCTCGGCTCCTGTGAGAGACAAAAGCTGGGCTGACGGGAAACCTCCCCGCCTGGCCCCCCTCCCTCAGCTCTAACTGATTAGCCACACGGAAACCTGGCAGTCAGAAATTTCCTGAAACACCCAGAGCTTGGGTTCTCCCAGGAGAGGCTGGAGTGCCCTCTCCCTGGAGAGCAGCCCTGGGTCCTCACAGAAACCTCCCCACAGACACCTCATGCAGCCCTGCACCCCCGCTGGCCAGGAGTCGCTAACGCCAGCGCCTGGCAGGAAGCGGCCACCCAGACACCTCACACGTGAAGGAATGAGTGAGGAGCAGGGAGCCTCGTGTTCCGGCTGGTCTGAGGATTCCAGGTCGGCCACCACTTCATCACTTCTCATGAGTGGCTCTAGGTTGCAACAGATGAGGGTTTGAAGCGACATGGGTGCCCTGACTTACTGCGTGTTATGGAATCTTCTGGTTTTCTCCTCTGCAGAGTGGAGACGGTTTGCTTCACAAAGTTTCGAGGGCCCAATGAGCCCCTGTGGTTGCCCTTCATCTGGAGTCTTGCCCATGCTAACTGCTCCATAAACGCGGGTTCCCTTTTCTCTATGCCACGTGGGCGCTTCTCAGGAGCCAACAGGGTAAAACAACCAGCAGCCAGCACAGCCATCCCAGGACAGTTGACCGGGGCAGCCGAGCAGAGGGCTGGGGTTTGTGTGGTGCCCGTTGAGGGCAGGGTGCTGGGAGAAGGGGCAGAGTGATGCCAGTTTTGGGGAGGCAGCTCCCGGCATCACCCACTGGGTGTGGAGCGGAGTGTCTTGGGGATGAGAACAGGCAGAACGGGGTGCTCCCTGAGGCCTGGGCTCAGCAGTGACATTCGCACCATGGCTCCCATTGGCCTGCAGTCGGCCCTGCACCCCGTCCTTCAACGGCTGTGCCCTGTGCCTCCCCTGCCCCCACGTGCTGAGGCTTCCCCAGCTGAGTGTGGCCATAGGGTCGATACCTCCGACTGACTAGGTTATAATCTGTGCAAACTCCGGCACGTTGCCTCACCTCTCCGGGCCTCTGCGTTCTCATCTATAAAATGGGTAGACGCGTCGCAGCATGGAGACTGAGAGGATAAAGCGAGCTAACGTGGAAAGCGCTTAGAGCAGCTGCTGGCACACGGCAAGGGCATCAACACGTGGTAACTGTTCAGTGTAGGAGAGTGTTTGATTCTTACAACCACCCACTCACACATGGAGACTGTGAACAGCTCCATTTCACACATGAGAAAACAGAGGCGCAAGACGGGGAGTGACTCTGGCGGGGTCACACAGGCGGTGAGTAGCAAGGCTGACACTTTTCTCCCCTTCTTTTGGACTCTGCGCGAGGCTCTAGCTGCCTCCACCAGCTGCATTTCCCCCTGTCCTGGGTGTCCTCCCTGCCACCCCTGCCCCGGGCGTCTTAGCTTCTTGCTGCCGTCCAGGGCCTTCCCCGCTGCAGCCTCCAGCCGGTTTGTGCTTTCAGATGAGGGTTTTGAGGCTGTGCTGGCGTCTCCCTGCAGAAGCTTTCCTTGCCACGTGACCTCATGCCAGCAGCTGTTCCCAACCAGGAATAATCTGAATCGATTCATGAGAAGGTGCCAGGTGTTTCCAGGATGATTTGTATTTTAACCCAAAGAAATGACTCTTCTGGGGAGAATTTCACCAAGAGCAGTCCTGCGGGGCGGACAGCTGTTGTTTTGGTCAGGGAGGTGGTCATGGGCAGGACCCCTTCAATCCCCCCTCCCTGAGGGTGAGAGGACACAGTGAGGTGCAAGGGTTCTCAAATGTAGGGAGCTTTGAGAATCCAGATTCCCAGGCCCCATCTCAGCATCTGTGACCGCCATTTTGAGAAATACCATTATCGCAGCAAGAGACAAAGGACCAAGCTTCAAGCTCTTTCGTTTAGCTTCCCGAGTGTCCGTGTTCTCATTTTTATAACAGGAATGAAGTCTTCCTGCCTGCCAAGTGGGGAATCATGGGAAAAGTTCTCAGGCCCCATTCAATACCTTGGGACATAACCATGACTGTTTTTATGCGGGGATTTGATCAAGTGCCACAGAGACATTCACAGGGAGACAGAGACCCAAGCCTCGTAGAAGTTTTTCCATCTTTGGGGCGATAGGGAGCCTTGGGGCTTTGAATGTACCTATATTTCTCAGCACTCCTTTGGGAGAAGGCTGTTGGTCAGAGGGGAGGCAGTGTTGTTTTCTATCTTTTGCCTCCCGGTCTAGCCAACTGTCTAGCCAACAGTATGCTAAGTACACCAGAGTGTGAATCAGCCAGGGCATGCCAGGAATGCTGCAGTGACGACACCCCTGGTCCTCAGTGGCTGCATGCAGCAAAAGTTTATTTGTTGCTCATACTGTTTGCCCCAGCTGGTTGACAGAGTCCACAGAGTCACTCAGGGATCCAGCCAGACAGAAACTCCACCATCTTGTAGCTGCACCACTGGGAAAACATGGGTCCCATAGATGCAGCAGGAGAAAGAGAGAAAGAGAGAGAGAGAGAGAGAGAGAGAGAGAGAGAGAGTGT